TCACCTACATCGTCCATATAGGACGACTCGGGAACTCAACTCCTACCCCGGGCAGCTCACCGATCCCCTTATGCCCAGGGGAAAGGTATCAAGCCGTTTGACAGCAGATGCTGGCTGTCAAACCGGCTTTTACGCAAAACAGGCGGGAGGCAGCAAACAGCTGCGACCAGCGAAATCGCCTGCCACCGGAAGTCTCGCCCAAATTTTGATCATGTGACTATGGGGATGCTGTGACAGTCCCAAGTGCAAAAACTGATCATAAGTCACATTTTTTCAATGCTATTGTAACTTTGGTCCCTAAATGAATGGCTATATGTTGAGGACTATCTCTATTGCTTGTCCTTGAGTCAATTGGGTTTCCTCACAGATATCAATCTAGAAAAGAATGCAGTTGTCCTGAATGTGATGCAGCCCCTTCTAAATAAGCCACATCTCTTTGAGGCTTAATGCCAGCCTTTCTCCTGGCATTAAACCAGGAGTGTCCAGCTTTGGAAACTTTAGAGCTTGTGGACTTCAAGTCCCAGAATTCCCCAGCCAGCCATGCTGGAATTCTGGGAGCCAAAGTCCACAAATCTTAAAGGTTGCCAAGATTGGATCCCTCTCCATTAACCTCTTTGGAGCTTCCTAGAGAGAGAGAATTCGCAAAACTAGATTTCCCAGATGCCCTGTGAAACGAAGCTCTGAATCAATCAGTTTTATGCCTGCAATGGGGAGATAACCATCCATCTTCTTCCATCTCGCTTGTTGACTTCTGTTTTTCTTCCTTTGGTCTCAGCTAACAAGACCTCGCCAACATCTGGAGAAGGGAACCGCCCTGGAGGTATCATCCATGTCTACGGCGGAGATGATGGCAATGACAAGTCCACCAGTAGCTTCATCCCCTATTGTTCTATGGCGCAAGCCCAGCTCTGTTTCCACGGACACCGTGATGCAGTCAAGTTCTTTGTCTCCGTGCCTGGTCAGTAGAATAGCTCTCGGTCTTTATATGGACAACTGCAACACCAACTTTCCCCAAGCAATTTGTGTTCCATGTATACAGGTCTCAAAATATGAGTAGCTTTCTGGAAAGACCTTACTGTATGCTCAGTCTGAAAGATTTTTACATTGATACACAGAACCCTGGTAATCTAGATATGTTTTTAAGTGTCCTGCAAAAAAGGGAACAGATACTACATTTGACCTTAGCCAAAAGCAACCTAGAACTAAGGAGAAACTTCCTGACAGTTAGAACAATCAACCAGTGGAACAACCTGCCTCCAGAAGCGTTGAATGCGCCAACACTGGAGGTTTTTAAGAAGAGACTGGACAGCCATTTGTCTGAAATGGTATAGGGTTTTCTGCCTGAGCAGGGAGTTGGACTAGATGACCTCCAAGGTCCCTTCCAACTTTATTATTATTATTATTATTATAAAATGCTGAAAAACAAAGTTTTTATTTATATTTTATACTTATTAATGTTTTAGATGTATCACCTGGGTATTGACATAGTAATAGAGAAGGGAATGTTATAGTGTGTGATTTATCTTGCTAGCTATTAGTATATTATTATATTTATTTGCCCTCCCTCTTTTTGTGACTCCCTCTTCTTTGGGGCAGCCCCTCAGATATTGGAAGGCTGCTATCATGTCCCCCCTCGTCCTTCTCTTCATTAAACTGGACATACCCAATCCCAGCAACCGTTCCTTATGTGTTTTAGCCTCCAGTCCCCTGATCCTCTTTGTTGCTCTTCTCTGCACTCTTTCTAGAGTCTCGACATCTTTTTGACATTGTGGTGACCAAAACTGGATGCAGTATTCCAAGTGTGGCCTTACCAAGGCCTTGTAAAGTGGTATTAACACTTCACGTGATCTTGATTCTCTCCCTCTGTTAATATTTCCATGTCAATCCTTTTTCGCTTTGCTTCGAGCTGCTCTTTCAAAGCCTTACCCTCTTTTCGAAAGGTTGGGGTGGAGCAGCTACTAACCAGCTACTACGTCCTTCTAGGAAATGTCCTTGCCACTTTGAATGGGAGTGTCCTGGATAGTCCTTCAGAGAACCCCAGCACAGATGCCGTGGAGGAGGAAGGACAGAAGCTGAAAAATGTCCTGGTCTTAAGCGGTGGTGAAGGATACATTGACTTCCGGATCGGTGAGTTTCGCGGGGCACTTTTGCCGTAGCGGTGGATAATGACCCGACGATTATGGGATGGGGAAAGAAGAAACCACACAGAGGATTTGATGATAAGGGTGTCAGGGTTCCGACTAATGAAACACTTCAAAGAACTTCCAGGCATTTTATCCTAAAAAGTCTTTTTATTCATGTGACAAAATGTTGGCACGGCATGATGAAGGATGCTAAGATCTGAAATCTCCACCCCCCGAACAGTTATTTTTGCTAGCGTTTCCCCTCCCTTATTTTGCTGTCATGATTTACGTTCTCCAATTAGTTTGAAGGGCAAAGGTTCTCTTCCTTTCCTTTTCCCGGGCTTTTCTCTCCTCCCTCCCTCATCTGAATTAACTCTAAAAGTACCAGACAGTTCTGGATATTTTGTCAAAGCAAGAATATTCAATATTAGCAGCGTTGACAAAGGGCAGAACTGAACTTTCCGTCTTCTCTTTCTTTGTGGCGGCCCTTCTTACACGCTCGCTGGAATTGAAACAGCCTGTTTCTCCAGAGGTCTCAAATACTCGTTTGTCCACAATAGTGTCGCTGCTGTACAAGTAGTTCTCGACTTATGACCACAATTGAGCCCAAAATCTCTGTTGTTAAGTGAAATATTTGTTCACTGAGTTTTTCCCCATTGTGTGACTGCTCTTGCCACAGTTGTCAAGTGGATGGCGGAAGTTGTTAGGCATCCTAAGTTAAGTGAATCCGGCTTTCCCGTGGACTTTGTCAGAGGGTCGTAAAAGGGGATTGCGTGATCCTGGGACTCTGCAACCATCATAAGTACATGTCAGTTGCCAAGCATCTGAGTTTTGATCACGCGACCCTGGGGATGCTGCAACGGTCGTAAGTGTAAAAAAGTGTCCTAAGTCACTTTTTTCAATCCCATTGTAACTTTGTACGGTCATTAAATGAACTATTGTAAGTTGAGGACTACCTGTACTGTGCGAAACATAAATTCCTTGATAGTAAAAAGCTCAAGGTCTCCACGGGGTTGTATTTGATCATCTGCTCGGTGGATTTTGCTGAGACGGGAACTCCTCCATGCTCTGTTCTTTGGTTCCTCTCCCCTCTCCAGGAGACGGAGAAGACGACGAGAGTGAAGACAACACGGGCGATGCTGCCCAGGTGAAGCCTATTCTCTCTAAGGCCGAACGAAGCCACATCATTGTCTGGCAGGTGTCCTACATCCCCGAATGAGCCTCTCTTCCGCGTCCTGCCAGTATAATTTTCCTCCCTTCTACCGACACCCGCTCCCTGAATGCCAAGATGTACATACAGAACTTTTGCATAATTCCTACCGCTGGCCAGTCCGACCCCGGATAGCTACAACTCTTCCTGTGCCATCAAGTGGCTCCCTCCCTCTCCAGGTTTACAGGGATTGTCTTGAGCTGATGGCCTTTCTAGACTGGCTGGGTTACCGCTGGCTTTCCGGCAGGAGGGAATCTTTGGATGAAGGCTGTTGCCATCAGAAGTCAAGACACAAAGGAAGATCACCCTTGGCTGAGAAGGACTGGACAACTTTTCCAAGGCAGCCCCCTCCTTCTCTTTTCCTTCCTTCCTTCCTTCCTTCCTTCCTTCCTTCCTTCCTTCCTTCCTTCCTTCCTTCCTTCCTTCCTTCCTTCCTACCTACCTACCTACCTACCTACCTACCTACCTGCATGGAGAAAAGTACCTGTGAACTGCTTAACTGGCTTATTCCCTTTGCCACCATGGAAACGGTGTCGACAGTTGGGGTTGGTCTCCAAGCCAGTACGAGCGAGATGTTTTTGAGAGCAAGCAACATCCCTTGCCCTTTCTCCTTCACAATTATTCGGTGAGGTCCAGGCACGAGAAAAGAATGTGGGAGCAATCTGAGCTTGGCTAAAGTATCTTAAAAAAATCTGTACCAGGAAGGTTTGCAGGTATGTTTGGGGATTATAGCCACAAGTCAGCAGTTGGCATTGTATCTAGAATAGGGGCTCTGGGCACAGGATGAGTTCCCGTCACTGAGTTTATTTTAATTGGGCACCGGTGGGTTGGTTCACTGCGGTCCAGGCACCAGTCTGGAAGCTCTTGGAAGGAGCAGAAGGATACAGATGCAGGAAAGACAATAAAGTTTTACCAGGCAAGCAAGGAGGCCATCTGAAAGTGGAATTGTCTTCTTGCGATTCTATACCTGCCTTATAGCAAATGACATTCTGAAGGATGGGAAGGCAAATGTACATGTTTAGCATCTTGCCTTCAGCAAATCAGAAAAAAATCTGAACTTCACCCTTGAAATATTGTAGTATTCCAGAGCTGTGTTGGATGGATATTTTGGAGGATGAAACTACCTTAGATGTATCTGGGGGTGCTCTGCTGGGAGCTGCAGGGATATAAGTCACAAAATGCGTCTTTCGGGCTATCTATCTCAGAAAAAAAGAGAAAAATCAGGTTAGAAACTAGGAGAAATCAAGCAAACGTGGAGGACAAATGGATCAGAGAAGGTAGGCATGGAATCTGCAGAGAGATAGGCAATTGTCCGGGAGAAGGAAGTAGGGAAGAGGAGAAGTGAAGGACAGCTGGAGGTGCAGAAGGCCTTCCTTCTCAGACCATGGCTGGTAGAAGTAGCAAGAGAAATCTGAGGCAGATGACGAGAGTGTTGTTTGAGTATAGTGATGTCCCAAAAAGCTGATCAGGAGATGAGCTTTATCTTCTATACAGTGTTTGGAGGTGGCTCAAAGGATGATGAACTTGATCAGATTCCCATCTTGACAGCAGGGCCACCTCAGATGGGAAGAATGTCCTCTTCTAGCCTTTCCCAACTGGGTGCCCTCCAGCTGGGTCTACAAAAGCAATTACTCATTGAATTAAGGTCAGCTTCTAGGGCAGTGGTTCTCAACCTTTTTAATGCCGCGACCCCCAACCGGTCGTAAGTCAAGGACTAAACCGGTCGTAAGTCGAGGACTAAACCGGTCGTAAGTCGAGGACTAAACCGGTCGTAAGTCGAGGACTAAACCGGTCATAAGTCGAGGACTACCCAACCGGTCGTAAGTCAAGGACTTTCCCTGCCCGGGAGCGCCGCGCATGCGTGGTTCCGCCCCCTGCGCCGGCCGAGGCGTAGCTGGCAAGCGGCAGAGACGGAGCAGGCTGACCACCAGCTGGCCCAGCCCAAGGGAGGTGAGGCACTCACCGGAAAAGGGGGAAAAAATGGCGGACAGCCTTGCTTGGCGACCCCCGTGAAATGGTCGATCGACCCCAAATGGGGTCGCGACCCATAGGTTGAGAACCGCTGTTCTAGGGTCTTCATCAACACGCCCGCGTGGCCTTCTTCTTCCCCTTCTTTCAACTGCCCAGTCTAGCCTACAACCCTGGGGTTTGTTGGTGGTCTCCCATCCCAGCCTGACCTGCTTGGCTTTTGGAGATCAGCCATGGTTCACCGGGTGCTACCACCTGTCTAGACCTATCAGGACTACCTTTCCCCAGAGCTCTAAATCCACCTGGCCAAAAGAGAATTCAGAAAGTTTTACTTCTAACAGGAAGGGCAGCCAATTGAGGAAGGCTGATAGAGCACGACAACCCATCAAGCCAACAAAAAACGGCTCCACGGTTTAAGAATGAAAGCTTGATTGGAGCCGTAGTTGCTATTCATGTCTCATAGTTTGATGGGATTTGCTTCTGAGTAAAGCCACAGAGCACTGCCTTTTCCCAAGGGGAGGATGAACAAACGAACACGCAAGCCTATATAAAGAGAGACAGAGTGCGCTTGGGATGGGTACCCAGTGTTTCTGGACTACTTTTAAGAAATTTGGACTTCCAGTGAGGGAGAATTCTGGGAGTTGAGGCCGACACGTCTTAAAAGCGGCCGAGGTTAAGAAACTCTGCGAAGAGAAAAAAAAAACCACTAAGCAAAAATAAAACTTAGCAAAGGCACGAGAGCATATCCCGTTCTTACATGCATTTGAAAAAAAAAACCACGTTTGTTTCTGTCTTTGTTTTTAACGTTTGATGAAGCCTCCAGCCTCTCTCCTTTTTCTGGCACTTAACTAATTCTAACCTTGCTTGTCTGCTGCATCTGCTCCCAAGCCTTTTGCAGTTGGAAAGAAGCACACGCGTGACGGCACGGAGAGGAGGAGACGGTGAAGGAGACGGCACCCAAAAAGAACGGGCTCCTTTTTTTAGGGGTGGTCAGCCAGCTTGGCGAAAGGCTGACGTGTGTGGGCCTCACAGACGGACTTTTTCCCGCTGCAATTCCACTGTGATGTATGTAAAGTTAACTTGTACGTTATAAAAGGATTTTTTTTTAAAAAAATGTGTCTTGAGGCTGTAAACTCTCTGCTGTTGGAAGATGTAAAGAGACGGCTGTATGGAAACACACCTCTCCCGTGCTTTCGCCCTGATGTGCTACCAAACAAACTGAAAATCATATCTGTTCTGTATGTAATAAAAAATGTATTATCGTCACGGGTCTGAGAGCATTGCTGAGCCCCCGAGAAAGATGGAAGCCTCCCACTTGCAAACCGCCGAGGCCTCGGCTTCTTATTGGAATACCCACCAGTGAAAAAAATGACATTGCCAAGTGTGTGTTCAGAGTTCTGATTGACTGGGGCATATTGTGCAAGCCCTGGTGCTCTCTGAGCTGGCTTGTTTTCTTGCAGACATTTCGTGACCCAACTAGGTAACATCATCAGTGCTAGAAGGGAGTGGGGTTTGTGAAGTGGAAGAGAAGGGGAGGAGGAGGAGGAGGAGGAGGGTGACTGTGGGCTCCTTGGTGCTCTCTGAGCTGGCTTGTTTTCTTGCAGACATTTCGTGACCCAACTAGGTAACATCATCAGTGCTAGAAGGGAGTGGGGTTTGGTCTCTTTTTAATGTGCTGGACTAGTTGCTTGCTCTGTCAGTGTTCGTAGGAGTGTTGTTCTTTCCTTGGTAGCTCCTGGGTTAGGCTGTTGTTTACTGTTTGAATTGGTAGCTTCTTCATTGCGGTATTATTGTTTGCTTCTTGATTTTTGGTTTGGTATTAATCCTTGTGTTAATTTCGATTTATCTGGGTGTTGATTGCTGGCAAGGAGGTGTTTTGGTGAAGTAGATAAACTAATCAAAGTAAACAGCCTAATCAAGGCGCTCCCAAGGAGAAAACAACACACTCACTGACAGGGCAAGGCACCGAGAGCAAACCCCACTCCCTTCTAGCGCTGATGATGTGACCTAGTAGGGTAATGAAATGTCTGCAAGTCAACAACTGAGCTCAGAGAACACCATAGTTCAATGCTGAGCTACAAATATTCTCTTCTATTGACTACACGCTGTGCAACTGCCACGATATTTGCTTGCTGAGTCCTCATTTTGCAATTCCTCAAGGGGACAATCGTATTCTTGCCTTGCCTTCTCCAGACTCAACAATCCACAATCTCTAATTATACAACCTCTCTGAAAACAGGAATGAATGAAAACGGCGCTCTTTCCCACATTTATTTTACAAAACAAAATGCATTGTTGAAAAGCAATAGGCTTGTACAGATAAACAAATATCCTTGGAAAGTATTTGCGAACAGAGCATTGTGTCTTGTTCCAGCATTTCAATTGGTAACTTAATAGCACAGAAACCTATAGATCTTGCAGGCCTCTCTCTCTTAATCAGGCATTAATTTGTTCCCTNAAGGAGAAGAGGAGGAGGAGGAGGAGGAGGAGGAAGGAGGTGACTGTGGGCTCCTTGGTGCTCTCTGAGCTGGCTTGTTTTCTTGCAGACATTTCGTGACCCAACTAGGTAACATCATCAGTGCTAGAAGGGAGTGGGGTTTGTGAAGTGGAAGAGAAGGAGGGGAGGAGGAGGAGGAGGAGGAGGAGGAGGAGGAAGGAGGTGACTGTGGGCTCCTTGGTGCTCTCTGAGCTGGCTTGTTTTCTTGCAGACATTTCATGACCCAACTAGGTAAAATCATCAGTGCTAGAAGGGAGTGGGGTTTGGTCTCTTTTTAATGTGCTGGACTAGTTGCTTGCTCTGTCAGTGTTCGTAGGAGTGTTGTTCTTTCCTTGGTAGCTCCTTGGTTAGGCTGTTGTTTACTGTTTGTCTGAATTCGTAGCTTCCTCATTGCGGTATTATTGTTTGCTTCTTGATTTTTGGTTTGGTATTAATCCTTGTGTTAATTTCGATTTATCTGGGTGTGGATTGCTGGCAAGGAGGTGTTTTGGTGAAGTAGATAAACTAATCAAAGTAAACAGCTTAATCAAGGCGCTTCCAAGGAGACAACAACACACTCACTGACAGGGCAAGGCACCGAGAGCAAACCCCACTCTCTTCTAGCACTGATGATGTGACCTAGTAGGGTAATGAAATGTCTGCAAGTCAACAACTGAGCTCAGAGAACACCATAGTTCAATGCTGAGCTACAAATATTCTCTTCTATTGGCTACAAGCTATGCAACTGCCACGATATTTGCTTGCTGAGTCCTCATTTTGCAATTCCTCAAGGGGACAATCGTATTCTTGCCTTGCCTTCTCCAGACTCAACAATCCACAATCTCCAATTATACAACCTCTCTGAAAACAGAAGGAATGAAAACGACGATCTTTCCCACATTTATTTTACAAAACAAAATGCATTGTTGAAAAGCAATAGGCTTGTACAGATAAACAAATATCCTTGGAAAGTATTTGCGAACAGAGCATTGTGTCTTGTTCCAGCATTTCAATTGGTAACTTAATAGCACAGAAACCTATAGATCTTGCAGGCCTCTCTCTCTTAATCAGGCATTAATTTGTTCCCTGTTCTATACATTCTTTGCAATCCCAGGGGCTGAGCATAGCATTGGAAATAAATTAAAGCACTTGTCCATCTTGCAGTATTAGAAAACTCACTTCAGACAGGTGGAAAAATCAAATTTAGGGGGCCAGAAATCCTGCCTTTTCAGCCATCATTCTTTCCTGCCCCTTAAATTGAATATTTGCCTTAGCATTTAAACTGGAAAATAAATACCCCCCCCCAAACAAAATCATACGGCTTTATTCCCTCTGCATCCTGCTAATTGGGAACAAGTTATTTTTCACTGCTTGGCAATCAAACTGCTCTGCTTTCTTTGATCTTGGCGTGAATTTTGGGAAAGCTTAAAGGAACATTCCCCATCTTTGACCAGACAGCTCAAGCAACGAAACAACCAAATAAGAGATTGGAGTGAAGAACTAAACAGAGCCCTGTAAGAGGGACATTTGAAGAATAATATCTGATTGGAAGACTTCTGCGTATTTGTGCTTTTGTAGCTCACAGATATTATTCTAATGTTAGACTCAACAGATTTTCTCAACCAGGGCTCTGTTCGACAGGAGTCAGTGTTGCAATACATTCAGAAGATTCCCAGCTGGGGAAGTCCGGACCACAAGAGGAGCAAACCCTGAGATTTTTAATTTTTTTTGATGGTTATTCATAAATCCAGTGTTCTCTGCTATCTTTCCAACAGATCAACTCCTCGGAACGAAACCAGAGTGCAATTTCTCGCTGAGCGCTCTCTACCGAATCGCTGCCGTGAACGACGTTCCTGCAGAGAAGGAAACGGTAGCCTGTAAGGAGAAGTTGAATCTATTCGGAGAAAAACATATTCCACAAAAGACGAGGCTCACCTCGCTCTATGTGACCCAGAAAAGTTCCTTATAATTCTACCTCCCATCATTTACAAGAGACGGAGACGAGTAGAAAGAAAAAAAGCTACTTGATAACCATGTTGTAGAGCAGGGGTCTTCAAACCTGGCCCTTTTATGACTTGTGGACTTCGACTCCCAGAATTCCTCAGCCAGGCACACGTGCCTGGCTGAGGAATTCTGGGAGTCGAAGTCCACAAGTCATAAAAGGGCCAAGTTTGAAGACCCCTGTTGTAGAGACGATTCAAAAGGCACCAGGAGAGCTTTGCTTCACACACAGGTTTTACAGTTGTAGCTATTTTGACGTCTCTGAATGACATTCTCAAGCTAAACTTGATAAACCTATGCAGGCTCTGTCTGGTGATGATAGTTGGGGTGTTAAAACAATAACGTAGGGTTTGTTAATAAAAATAAAGCCAAAGATATAGCTGGAATGCTTTAAAAAAAAGCAGTTTTTATCCCTTTAAATAGCTTACTTGCTAGGGACCGGAAGAGAGCCTGTCAACAGAAGGAAACTACAGGTAGTCCTTGACTTATAACAGTTCATTTAGTGGCCGTTCGACGTTTACGGCAGTGAAAAAAGCAAAGTATGACTTTTTCAGGCTTACGGCCAATCACATCCCCATGGTCACGTGATCAAAGCTCAGCCACTCGTCAACCGACTCATATTTATAATGGTTGCGGGTGTCCCGGAGTCACGTGATCCCCTTTTGTGATCCTCTGCACAAGCAAGATCAATGGGGAAGCCAGATGCACTTCACAACCGTGCTACTAACTTAACAATTGCAGTGATTCACTTAACTGTGTGCAAGCAAGGTCACAAAACGGGGCAAAACTCACGCGACAAATGTCTCACCTAGCAACAGAAATTTTGGGCTCAACTATGGTCGTCCGTCAAGGACTCTACCTGCAATGACTTCAACTCACTTGTCCACTTCAATGCAGAAATCTCCTCGGATGGTTCCCGGTTTGGAATCGGCCGGGTTGGTTTCCCCAATCATCATCCGTGCAGTTTTCACTACCTCTTGCCCTTGCCAGACCTACAGAAAGCGAAGAAAGAAGGGTGAGAAGCAACAACTTGCATGCCTCTCTCTTTCAGCTACCTGAAACCTCTCGCAGGAATAATGTAACTTTGGTAAACTTTAGTCCTGTTTTTTTTTAATATTCTGTTTTAAATATTTTATTAGATTTTATAAGGATGGGGAAGGGGTAGGATCAGTAAGGGTGTTGGATGGGGCTGGGGAGTGAGGTTGGAATAAGGGTAGGGAAAAATGCCATGGTGGGTTCACCCCCCCCCCCCCCCCCAGTAATTCATCGCTTTAGCAAGCAGACTGTCATCCGGGTACAAATGTTAAATAACAGTAATGAAAATAATACTAAAAAAATTATAATCACAAAAAATAATCGTCATCATAAAAAAAAAAAAGTCAATAAGTGTCGTTTATCCTACTAAATAAATAGTTAATGTAATACTGAGTAATTATAATCACTAATAATAACAAGAGTCATAAAAACAGCTTAGTCAATAAATGCCATTCATCTTGTTAGCTTTACAATATTAAATAACCTTAGTTAATATAATACTAAGCAATTATAGTCACCAAGAATGACAATAATCATAAGAAGAAGAAAAAGAAAAGTTAATCAGTAAGTATCATTCATCTTAAATAGCAATAATTAATATAATACTAAATAATCATAATCGCTAATAACAATAATCATGAAAGTAAAGTCTAATCAATAAATATCCTTCATCCTATTAAGTTTCACAATCCATTCCTGTTTTTTTTTTTTTTTTTAAAAAAAAGATATAACTCTCCTGATGAAATAGAGAAGGCACACAGGTAAGTCCTGCCTCAACTGGCAGGTACGACTACGGCATCTCGTCAAAAGCAGTAAGGCCAAGAAAAAGTCAGTGCCCAATAAAGACACAACAAAGCCTCAACAAAGTGCGCACCAAGTATTTTAAGTCACGAGAAATTCCAATATTGTTTTCAATTCAAGCTGTTTTGAAGGTGCCCTAGAAACTTCAGGAGACGGATCAAAATATTCCAGGAGAGAACATTTGGGGCGTCTATAAAGAGAGGAGGAAAAAATTTTGCAACTCAAAAGTTGCACTTGGTCAAGGTTGCTTGCCTTAACAAACATCTCGGGCTGGGCCTAGAAAACTACCTGAGCCCTTGGACTTCTGTTGTTTCTCAGCGAGGAGCATCTGACCGCAGGAAACTTAATGATTTGATATTTAGCATCTCATATCACTGTTCCTCACCATGGCCACAATAGGTCCCGAACTCATGAATTTCACCAAGCGGCTGAAAAAAGGACGCTCACGGAGAGAGATGTAATGTTCTTTCAGCAACTCTTCTGAAGCCTGAGCAAAAGATACATCAGATGTGATCAACGTGTTACAGACTTTCGTAAAAACCCTGGATCCTAAGCTCCCACCTGCAGATTGGGAAGGAATTAAGAATGCTGAGTGTGTTCCTCACCAAACTCACTTTCAACACGTACTTGAAAGTTCAAAAGAAGAGACTTTTTTTAAAAAATAAGGTCAACTGTTCTACAGAGTGCATAAGGAACTATAATACAATGATACAAGATAAGGGATAAAACGATCTCAGACAGATTAGATCTCTACGTTTGATACCTATCTGGCATTTTGTCTGAATCCTGTAGGAATGAAATGTTTTGAATTAGCAGATATAGAATGATAAAATGTTATTTGCCCCAAGTATCACCAAAGCGCCATAGAATGGAGGCCTTTGAACTCTGGTGCTGGAGAAGACTCCTGTGAGTCCCTTGGACTGCAAGGCGATCAAACCGGTCAGTCCTGGAGGAGATCAACCCTGACTGCTCTTTAGAAGGCCAGATCCTAAAGTTGAAACTCAAGGACTTTGGCCACCTAATGAGAAGGAAGGACTCACTAGAGAAGAGCCTAATGCTGGGAAAGATGGAGGGCAAGAGAAGACGGGGACGACAGAGAAGGAGGTGGCTGGATGGAGTCACTGAAGCAGGAGGCGTGAGCTTAAATGGACTCCAGAAGATGGTAGAGGACAGGAAGGCCTGGAGGAACGTTGTCCATGGGGTTGCGATGGGTCAGACACGACTTCGCAACTAACAACAACAATCACCAAACCAGAGGAAGACTAAAATAATTATAATTAGTTTTCGTTTGATCAGCTTTCTCAACCTCATCAACTTCAAGATGGGTAAACTTCAACTCCAGAATTCACCCAGCCAGCATGTCAATTGGGAGAATTCTGGGAATTAAAATCCACTCATCTTAAAAAGTGCTGAGATTGAGAAGCACTGGGTTAAATGGACAGAATCCATGATCTGCAAAATGGCAGGTGGTGTGAAAAAAGGGTAATTAAACAGAACTTGGATTGGACATACCATGCCACTCAAGGCTGCAGTTGGCTCTGATTCTATTGGCTTTCCAGAAAGTCTTTAAGATTGGCTATTTTCCCAGGCATGGAAGCCAGGAAAATAGTTGAGGTCATATTCATTGCCTTCACAGTTTCCTTGATGGCCATCTTGGGTTTTTGATCTCATTTATTGTTTTGCCTTCATTTTTGCAGGATCGATTCTGGGTCAGTCACCTGGACCAAAGGTTTAGTCTTCTGGGCTTTTGGGCTTGTACTGGAGCCCATCCTCGCAGGACCTCTCTCTACAAGAGTGTGCTAGAGAGAAGCGACTGACCCCGATCGGATCCTGCAACATTATCCTGGGACATGTATATTCCCCTTCATTTGTCTTAATTTCTGTTAACCCGCCAGAGTTCCATTTAAAGAGATGGGTATTATTGAGATCTGTGAACTTCAATAAATAATAAAGGCTTCGTTGACAGTTGGACACCTCTAATTTAAAACAGACCAGGTCGCTCACAACGGGAAAGATCTCAGCTGCAGTCCTTGAGCGCCAGAGAAGCTACTTGGGGGCTCTGCTGGCTGTTCTCACCTGCATGAGCTTCATCGCTACCAACTTGAAGCCTTTCTTCTCAAAACGCCGGATGATCTCGCCGACCAGATGCCTCTGTACCCCATCTGGCTTGATGGCAAGGAAAGTGCGTTCGTTCACCCCCGTAAAAGCTGGAAACAAGAACCAGGCGTTACGCACGAGCAAGGCCTGAAGACTTCAAGAATGGAGAGCCATCTAAGGCCCATCCTTGGTCTGGTAATCATGGGTACCAAGTCACTCTCATTGCAGGTGGTCCTCAACTTAAGACAAACAGAAGCAGAATTTCCCACTGCTAAGCAAGCCACTTGTTAGGTTGTTGCCACGGTTACTGTGAACCACTGCAGTGGTTAAGTGAATCTTGTCGTCGTTAAGTGAACCCAGCTTCCCCCATTGACTTGGTTCGTCAAAAGCCAAGTGGAAAGGTAGCAAATGTCAAATCGACGTGACTCCAGGATGCTGGAACTGCTGTAAATACACGCCAGTTGCCAAGCAGCTGAATTCGGATCATGCGACTGGGGATGCAGTGATGGTTGTGAGTGTGAGGATTAGTCGCAGGTCACCTTTTTTTTTCTGTGATGTTTTTTTCAAGGCCATTGATGATCTTCCCAACTGGCTTCTGACAAGCGACGCCCATGGGCAGGGGTAGGCCACCTTGGCTCTTTGATGACTCGTGGACTTCAACTCCCAGAATTCCTGAGCCAGCGTGGCTCAACTTGGAAACCTCTCGCTTTCCCCTCAGCGTGGCTGGCTCAGGAATTCTGGGAGTTGAAGACCTTTTACTTGGTCCTGCAGGATGCACATCTTCTTAGTGAACCCTCTTTCAGCAATGGAGTTTTGTATATTTCACACAATACAGGTGGTCCTCAACTTACCGCCACAGTTGAGCCCCGAATTTCTGTTGCCAAGTGAAGCGTTTGTTGAGTGAGTTTTGCCCCATTTTACGACTTTTCTTGCCACAGTCGTTAAGCGAATCATTGCAGTTGATAAGTTAAGACCCCGATTGTTAAATGAATCTGGCTCCCCCCCCCCCACTGACTTTGCTTGTCAGAAGGCCGTAAAAGGGGATCAAGTGATCCCGGGACACTGAAATCGTCATAAATATGAATCAGTTGCCAAGCGTCTAAATTTTGATCCACATGATCGTGGGGATGCTGCGGTGGTGTGAAAAATGGTCATAAGTCACATGTTTCACTTAACAACTGCACTTAACAACAAACAGTCCAGTCTCTTTTGTGGTTGTAAATCGAGGACTGCTTGTGATAGCTTGTCTGTTGACAGCATCTTCAAGCCACGATAGCTCTGC